AAAAAAACATCTTTCCGTCGAATATGGCCAACCCTGTATTACAAATATTTTTGAAACAATGAAAAAATTATGAAAAATTACAGTTTATTTAAAAAGCATATTTAAAAGTAATATAAAAAACTTCTCTCTCTTAACAGAGATTAGAACCTAAAAATTATTTCAATAAAAAAAGTGTGCTCTAATAGAAATATAATTAAGAAGTAATAACAAAATTTCAATTTTGTTATATAAATATTTTAAAGATAATTTTTGTAAAGTTTTATTGAAGTTTCATTAAAAGATTAATTGTTTATTTATACAGAACAACTATCCTCTACACTGAAATTTTGCATAAATCGCCTTGAATCTACTTGTACAAAAAAAATTGAAATTTTTGTCAATAATTTTGACAATGATTTTATTTTTAATGATAAAAAATAAACTATAAAATATGTTGTTAAATAAAAATATAATGTTATTTACACAATGTTTATGTATACATATATAATTTATTTTGCAGGAATTGCAATGTATAGATTATTAAGTAAATGATTGGTTATTTTTTATCGTTTGCCGGAGATTATAATTATATTCAATGATTAAATTTATCGCGAGAATTAAGTGGAGTGCTTGATATGCTTGACACACGAGAAGTATTTCACTTTCACGATTTCTTAACGTAAAAACTCGCGGTTGTCTAAGCATCTCATTGCATCCTCCTGCACGATACATTTTATGATACATACGACCGATACTCTTCGAGATTTCAAGGAGCATGAAATTCTCGAATTTCTCACACATCTTGTACATCAAATTTCATGAAGAGACGCTTCCGTATCCGGAGCGCGTGATAGACGGAATGGATCGCACTACGTACCGAGAGTACGGAAGATGAATCTCTCGGGCGCTGTGCTCTGCAATTTCCGGTCCTACGGGGTCGTGCACTGCCCGCTCTTTCTCGTCGTCTTGCATCGTTCGTCTCGCCGAGTCGGTGTTCTAGAAACCTACAGCTACTTACATACACGCTTCTCGCGAGCGCCGATCTCGAAAGCCGGTCGAGGCGGATTGGCACAAGTCCCGACCTAGTTCTTTCAGTTATTCAACTGTAATCGGATGCACTAAGCGCGGAATATGCACGCGCTTCGACTTCGCACGTGGTTGCAATAACGTCGCGAAGCTTATCCGAGAGACTTGCATATATCCTTCTTTTTATGTTTAACATGTGTGCATTTAAAGATCTTAAAAAAAAATAAATATGTTTCATTCTGCGAGTAATCATTACTTGTTTAGTTTTCTTTCATTTATATTCGGATAAATTGTTTTTTCTAAATGTTTCTTCCATTCCATGTACTTTTATATCTTTTTTATATCTTTTTTATACATTAAATATATCTTTTATTTCAACACTATGTGGTCAACATTATGTGTTCAGGCTTTTATTTTAATTTTATTATAGTATTAATAATGTCTCAAAATTCATGTGAGAGACTCGCACGTATCTTTATTTTTATATTTAACGTGTTTCTTCACGTATTTATACAGAGCTTTCATTTTTAAAAATAAACATATTTCATTTCGATTATAATCATTAGATTCAATCTTCTTTAATTTATATTTCGATAAATTATTTTTTTGAATGTTTCTTCCATATAATTTTATATCTTTTTATATCTTCTTTTACTTTAACATTATTCATTATATGTTCAGACTTTTATCATTTCAATTTATTTTATTAGCATTTTATAACTAATGGATAAATGCATATCTTAAGGCAATCATATTTCATTACATCGTCTTGACTACTTTCTGCTTGTCTAGTATGGCGAAGATGTCGATTAATTATAATAATCGGAGTATGAATCTTGACCAAGTGTCTTGATCGTGGATTACTTGGGGTCACGGATTGTATAATCTTGATTTATTATAAATTTCTCGTGATCATAAAATATCACGAATCTACACACAGAGAAATAAATGATAGTTTGATAAAAAAAAAAAGGAAAAAATTCGCTCAATTATAAATCTATTGAAACGTAATTATGATCAATCTCTTTTCCGTTTCGCAGAATTTATTTATGAGAGAGTCCTGCCGGAGATAGTAATTAGCATTCTCACAATCCCTTCTCTATGAAATGAAAAAATCGCTTCTCCATTATCGCTGCGAGAATCGAGCATCATTAATAGTAAATTATGTAACACAATTACTATTATATTATGTCACGCGATTATATATGAACTCGCATGATCGATTTCAAAATTGTTCCAGATTTAATCACGCGGGTCCTATCAGCACAATTTTTTATATAAATATTAATAAAAAAAGAAAAAAAACAATTTTATTTTATCAATTAAAAATGTCAGTTTTATTAACTGTAGAAAAAATATTATCCCGATTATATTTTTGATTCAGAAAGAATAAAATATTTCCGAATCTTCTCCTTCCGTCGTCTATTCATAATCTAACGATTTCCCAATTGCAGTTTGCCCGCAATTACAATCTCCGTTCTCTATTTGCGTTTGTGAAATCGTGCTCGACTCGCGATCCACTTGCGATTATGCATCGCTGTTTTATGGCTCAATATAGTACAAGGTGTTTCTGTGGCGATTTATCGTTTCAAATCTAACGTCTAACAATAATGGTCGGAAGAGGTCAATGGAATTCGGATCATACGACTGTGTTCATTCGTCGCTTTACAGATGGATTCTGACAATAGCGATTAAAATCAGCTGAGATTCGCACGGTTTCGCGACGCTGTCAATTGCAGCAATTTTCTTAGCAGAGTAAGCGAGGCGTGAATTCAAGGACAAAGTCGGCAGAATGTCATTCTCGTGTTACAGATTTCATACAAATGTTGAAGTATGGATTTACTCGGAAAGAATGATTTAGAAACTTAGATAGATACGAATCTGAAAATAATTTTGTTGGATCATCAAAATAATAACGTAGTACGCTTAAACTGATTAAAGAATGGTTGCTAGAATGGTTGCTAGAATGTTAAAACTTTTTGCAGTAGTACTCCCATTATATTTGAGTTTCCTATATAATTATTTTGATGATCCTACAAAATTATTTTTCCGAATCTGTATCTAGTTAAATTTTTAGATAAATTTTCAGCAAAACCATCTTCTCTGTATAACTGTTAAATTTTATAACAACTTTAATAACAACGATTGTATTGTATTATAAAGAATTTTTGCAAAACATATGATAAAATTGCATAATAAAAAAATGGTAACCACATATATTTTTTATAAAAATGAACACTGTTGAATAATTATAGATAGCTTTGAAAAATTTTAAATGCATAAAGAGTCTAAAGGCTATAATATACAAAATATTTAAGCAGAAAACAAATCAATATTTTAAATTTACTATTATTTACGTTATTGCCTTATATCTCTATAACTCTGATTGGCCGATTAACTTATTAATTATATCTTATTGCCTTATGTTTTATGTATAGCTTTAAATTGCTTTAAGCAAGTTGGGAATAACTTTCGAAATATTATATATAAAATGTTCCAGATATTCCAAAATGTTATTTCTAATGTTGACGGCGTGTCTTCTCGCTGTGACTCACGCCGGATGTCCCATGAGACCAACAGTGGAACAAACTTCCACGAGCAGGACGGCAGGTGATGGTGGTTACAGGATTCTTATCAGCGGACAGAACAACGGATACATTCCGAATGCAATTCATACAATTAACTTGCAAGGTTGTATATACCTAAAAGATTGTATAAAAAAATTAGTAATATATAGGAGACGGGTGAAAGATTTCAGTAAACGCAAAAAATTGTAAATTGTCGCTTTTATAATTAATGTGATATTTTAGGATCACAAACACATGAAAGACTGCAACAATTCACGCGCTTCACGCTCACGGTGACTTCGCAGCACGCGCCGAATAATCCTTTAGCTCGTGTTGGTTATTTCCAACTGTTTCCGGATTCTTTAACTACCTTCAACGAGGATTGCATTAACACGATCTCCGAGGCAACTGAGTACCCGAAGTCTGAAGTACGAGTACAAGCAAATATATGCGTGACTCTTTTAAAAAATTATAAAAAAATAAAAAAGACATTAATATACTTTATTATTAATATACTTTATTAATACATCTTTATAAATATATTTTTTTTATTAATATATAAGATAT